GGTCGTGACGCAGACACCTGGGCTGGAGTGATTTGGACGGCATGGGGCAGATAAGCTTAATAATAACGGGAGGAGGCTGCGAGACTTCTGTGCAGCACATTGGCTTGGAATCAGCAACACGCTGTTCCGGCATCGGCACATCCACACGACATCACGGATGCACGCCGCGTCTGAGCGAAGGACATCTGTTGGACTACATCGTGATCCAACAGTAAATGTGGGACACCAGGACTTCCCGTGGAGCTGATCTGCACACTGCCCATCTGTAAGATGCGCCTGCCCAAGGACATAATTCAAACCCACAGTGTCCTGGTCTCAAGCTAGCTTATCAAAGTTGGAAGCGGGAATTTCATCGTCGCTTGCAGCTGGGGTTGACATCGTGCCCGTCGCCCCCCACTCTTCCCGATGCCGAGGGGAAATGAGTGATGTCCAGGACTGTGGCGTGTCCAGTTGCTACGACTATTTTGGGTACGTGGTCCAGACCACCTCTCTCTGCAGAGACCCTGGCTGACTGAGGGCGCGTTACGGATAGCCTTCGACTCGCCACGTGGCCAAAAAAGTGTACATAGCCTGGCACGAGTGCCATGGTGACATCACCTTCAGGTCGTTGTGGATGTGACATGATGACGTCACGGCGTCAGGATTATTTAGACCTGTCACTCAACTGACACCACAGCCTCTGTGGTTAAGCATCATCAAAAACGTCATCACAAGCAGCAGCATTATCACCAGTATCATCATCAGCACATCATTATCATCATCACCGTCATCGTCACCACCATCACTCTATTGTTAGATATTGCGCTTACACATCCGGCCTTGTCTTCACGTTGGCTGGCAGACAGCTTCTGCTGCTGCAGGCCGCAGTCCAGGCGGGTCGGCGTGTCTCCACGTCGCCAGTGGGCGAGATGCCTGCCCCTGGAGAACCCCCACACTGCTGAAGTGTGGGTATATTCACCAGGGACGGTTCATTGAATGTCGTGTTTAGTGACGTAGGGGGCCCTATTTAACAGCTTCCTTGTTAAGCATCCTTCCTCCTCTGCCCTCCCCCCGTGTCCCCCGTACCCCATCCCCCCACCACGTGCCCCCCCTCTCCCCCCTTTCCCACCCCGTGGCCCCCCCTCTTCCCCCGTGCCACCCCCTCTCCCTCCGTGCCCCCCCTCTCCCCCCGTGCCCCCCCCCTCTCACCCCGTGCCCCCCCCTCTCCCCCCGTGCCCCCCCCTCTCCCTCGCCGTGGCCCCCCCTCTCCCCCCGTGTCCCCCCCTCTCTCCCCGTGCCCCCCCCTCTCCTCCCGTGCCCCCCCTCTCCTCCCGTGCCCTCCCCCTCTCCTCCCGTGCCCTCCCCCTCTCCTCCCGTGCCCCCCTCCCCCATTGCCCCCTCCCCCCGTAGCTATGTAGTTGTTCGTCACGAGTCGTGGCGGAATTCGGGATCGATTCGTGTTCTTTTTTTACGTCGGCACTTATTTTGTACAAATAAACAAACAACAAGGGTCATCACCCGAAACGTCGCCCATCATACATTTTTGCGTGTTGAGTTCCGTGTGTTAATTAGACGGACGGTGGAGCATCATCATCAGCGGCAGCAGGATCATGATAATCATTATAACATCATCATCACCAAGTATCATCACATCATCAACATTAACAACCACCACCAGCAGCAGCAGCAACATCATCGTCAACACCGACATCAATACTGTGTCTACGGGAAAAGGCGCAGCCTCTGCAAGTGCAACTGCTGGCGGAAGGGCCTCCATTAGAGGGACCTCTACAGAGCCCCCCCTCTAGAGGGGGGTATTTGGCCTACTCTTCCTCACTGGCCAGCCGTCACGGGAGAGACCACGCAGTCTGTGTTGTGAGCTAGATGCACGTGCGTGTGTGGTGCATCTTCATCACCGGCCAGGATCATTCATTCCCCTCGCCGCCACCACAGCGGGGCCGCTGCAGCCTCACGGCGCCCTCCCCACGGGGCTTGTGCCAGGCTCGGTGCACTGACAAAGATCCCCCCCCCCCCCCGGTGTCGACTGGAGGGACGAGCTCTGTCAGCGATCGCTTATTAAAGCCGGGACGGCCCACTGCTTCTGGCCGCCTTTGTCTCTCGAGCATGTACCTTTCTCGTACTTTGCACGCCTACCATGTGTGAGTATTGTATGTGTAAGTTTACGTGTCTTAATATGAGTCATTGTGTCTATGAGTGAGTCTGAGCATGATTCAACGTATGAGTGAGTCTATGTTGAGTGAGTCTGTGTGTGTATGTATGTGTCTGTTCGTGCACATCTGTGAGTCCCTGCGTTTACTGTTAGCAAGCACCTATTAAGGCCAGAACGGCACACGAGGGGGTGGGTGGCCAGCACCACGCCCGGCCGCCTTTGTCTCCCCAGTGAAGACGTTTAAACAAAACACCGGATACAGTATAAGTCTGAGTCGACCTAGGGGAGGCCCAGGACCGGTTCAGATAATCGTCACCGGTGTTGGTCGTGAGCGGGGATCGAACTCGGGTCGCCCGGGTCCATAGCGCAGCGTAGCGCTAACCGCGACTCCACCGCTCCCCGCCGATCTCCCAGGGACGCGCACACACTCGCTCACACTCGGGTATCGGCTGCATGCGCATGGTGAGGTGTGTGCCGCGAGTCTTAACGTGGTTGACATCTTAATCGCAATAAGTCAACGTGCTCAACACAGCCCCTGCTGATGCTTCCGTTCCGACCTGAAAACAACCTCCCCGCGTCGCTGCTACCCAAGTCCAACATCACCATCATCATCCTGCTGCTACCGCTACTCTCTGCACCCAGACACACCCCAACCACTATCACTATCAGTCTGTCATTAACACGATCACTATCAGTCTGTCACTAACACGATCACTATCAGTCTGTCACTAACACTATCACTATCAGTCTGTCACTAACACTATCACTACCCCAACCCCTATCACTACCCCAACCCCTATCACTACCCCTATCACTACCCCATCACTACCCGAACCCCTATCACTACCCCAACCACTATCACTACCCCAACCACTATCACTACCACTATCACTACCCCTATCACTACCCCTATCACTACCCCTATCACTATCACTACCCCAACCACTATCACTACCCCATCACTACCCCTATCACTACCCCCATCACTACCCCCATCACTACCCCTATCACTACCCCCATCACTACCCCTATCACTACCCCCATCACTACCCCAACCACTATCACTACCCCCATCACTACCCCAACCACTATCACTACCCCAACCACTATCACTACCCCTATCACTACCCAATCCACTATCACTACCCTATCACTATCACTACCTCCATCACTACCCCAACCACTATCACTACCCCAACCACTATCACTACCCCTATCACTACCCCTGTCACTACCCCTATCACTACCCCTGTCACTACCCCTATCACTACCCCCATCACTACCCCAACCACTATCACTACCCCAACCACTATCACTACCCTATCACTATCACTACCCCAACCACTATCACTACTCCTATCACTACCACTGTCACCACTGCTACCCCTATCACTACCCCCATCACTACCACCATCACTACCCCACACCCCTCCTTAACCACTCCCGCCTGTTCTCTTGTCACCAGAACCATATTTCCATTTTGAAAATAAAACATGCTTCAAATCGTTTTAAACTATTGTCATTGTAGTGCGTATTTAATGTGTAGGAAAATAATTTATGAAAAAGTCTATTTAATTAAGTAGAACGTGTTGTCTATATTTATTTAAAGTTGTGCATTTTGATGTGACGTCACATTTCTCAAACACCCCCCCCCGTCACACATCGTCACAAATGTCTGACTCCCCCCTCCCTAGGTGCGTGACGTCATTTATGGACGGCCCCTAAGAGATAATGAAGATACACCTCTAAGATATAATAAAGATACATCTCTAAGAAATAATGAAGATACATCTCTAAGAGATAAGATGCATTTCTAAGATATAATAAAGATGCATTTCTAAGAGATAATGAAGATACGAGTCAAAGAGATAATGCAGATACGAGTCTAAGAGATAATGAAGATTAAAGTCTAAGAGATAATAAAGATACATTTGTAAGAGTTAATGACGATACATCTCTAAGAGATAATGAAGATTAAAGTCTAAGAGATAATGCAAATACATTTCTAAGAGATAATGAATATACATTTGTAAGAGTTAATGACGATACATATCTAAGAGATAATGCAGATACGAGTCTAAGAGATAATGAATATACATTTGTAAGAGTTAATGACGATACATCTCTAAGAGATAATGCAGATACGAGTCTAAGAGATAATGAATATACATTTGTAAGAGTTAATGACGATACATCTCTAAGAGATAATGCAGATACGAGTCTAAGAGATAATGAATATACATTTGTAAGAGTTAATGACGATACATCTCTAAGAGATAATGCAGATACGAGTCTAAGAGATAATGAAGATACATTTGTAAGAGTTAATGACGATACATCTCTAAGAGATAATGCAGATGAAAGTCTAAGAGATAATGAAGATAGGAGGGGGACACGTGGGGAAGCAGCGCTCCGTGCCCGGGCAGCACCAATGCCTCCTTGATGTGCCTGGCGGCTGGGTGGGGGGTGCAGTAAATATCGACACTGGGGAGACAAAGACGGCCGGGCCACGGTGCTGGCCCGCCCACAACGCTCGTGCGCCGCCGCAGTGCCGGCCGGATGTCATGGGCGCTTGCTCTGTCCACTGCTACTCGCAGCAAGCACTTGCCCCCAGCGGTCTGCGAAGGCTACCCGGGGGGCCTTTGCCTTCGAGGGGTTGTTTGCTCTGCGCGCGACAACGGCACCCGGGGGGCACCCGCAGCGGTGGTCGTTTTCAATTAAAATGCAATTCCGATGGAATTCGGATGGAATTAATAGGCAATTAGCGGTGGATGAGTGGAGGCGATTGGTGGGAGGGGCGGGGTCAGTGGGGCTGGGGGCTGGTGGAGGGGGGAGTTTGGTGGGGGGGGGGTGACGTGGCCCCGTTGCCAAGGTGGCGATGGTCGCCATGGCAACCGGTGTTGACAAACTGGAGCCGTGGAGACGACGCCGCTCCAACGGCGCCGCTCGCTTCTCTGCCGCAACGCAGCGTCTCGACTCCATCTCCCGTGTGGTACCCTTGCACCTCCCTTACATCTCCCTTACATCTCCCTTACACCATCTCTCTTACATCTCTCTTACATCATCTCTCTTACATCTCCCTTACACCATCTCTCTTACATCTCTCTTACATCTCTCTTACATCATCTCTCTTACATCTCTCTTACATCATCTCTCTTACATCTCTCTTACATCTCTCTTACATCTCCCTTACACCATCTCTCTTACATCTCCCTTACACCATCTCTCTTACATCTCTCTTACATCATCTCTCTTACATCTATCTTACACCATCTCTCTTACATCTCCCTTACACCATCTCCCTTACATCTCTCTTACATCTCTCTTACATCATCTCTCTTACATCTCCCTTACACCATCTCTCTTACATCTCCCTTACATCTCCCTTATACCATCTCTCTTACATCTCTCTTACATCTCCCTTACATCTCCCTTACACCATCTCTCTTACATCTCTCTTACATCATCTCTCTTACATCTCCCTTACATCATCTCTCTTACATCTCCCTTACATCTCTCTTACATCTCTCTTACATCATCTCTCTTACATCTCCCTTACACCATCTATCTTACATCTCTCTTACATCATCTCTCTTACATCTCCATTACATCATCTCTCTTACATCTCCCGTGTGGTACCCTTACATCTCTCTTACATCTCCCTTCTGACACCCCCCCCCCATCGCCTCCTTGTATAATGAATCTCCCTCCCTCACGTCTCCCCCATCACCTCCCCCTTCACGTCTCCCCCATCACCTCCCCCCCTCACGTCTCCCCCCATCATCTCCCCCCTCACCTCCCCCCCTCACGTCTCCCCCATCATCTCCCCCCTCACGTCTCCCCCATCACCTCCCCCTTCACGTCTCCCCCATCATCTCCCCCCTCACGTCTCCCCCATCATCTCCCCCCCTCACGTCTCCCCCATCATCTCCCCCCTCACGTCTCCCCCATCACCTCCCCCTTCACGTCTCCCCCATCATCTCCCCCCTCACGTCTCCCCCATCATCTCCCCCCTCACGTCTCCCCCATCACCTCCCCCCTCACGTCTCCCCCATCATCTCCCCCCTCACGTCTCCCCCATCATCTCCCCCCTCACGTCTCCCCCATCATCTCCCCCCTTCACGTCTCCCCCATCATCTCCCCCCTCACGTCTCCCCCATCATCTCCCCCCTCACGTCTCCCCCATCACCTCCCCCTTCACGTCTCCCCCATCATCTCCCCACTCACGTCTCCCCCATCACTTCCCCCCTCACGTCTCCCCCATCACCTCCCCCCTCACGTCTCCCCCATCACCTCCCCCTTCACGTCTCCCCCATCACCTCCCCCCCTCACGTCTCCCCCCATCATCTCCCCCCTCACCTCCCCCCCTCACGTCTCCCCCATCATCTCCCCCCTCACGTCTCCCCCATCACCTCCCCCCTCACGTCTCCCCCATCATCTCCCCCCCCACCCCCCCACGTCTCCCCCATCATCTCCCCCCTCACGTCTCCCCCATCATCTCCCCCCTCACGTCTCCCCCATCATCTCCCCCCTCACGTCTCCCCCATCACCTCCCCCTTCACGTCTCCCCCATCATCTCCCCCCTCACGTCTCCCCCATCATCTCCCCCCTCACGTCTCCCCCATCACCTCCCCCTTCACGTCTCCCCCATCATCTCCCCCCTCACGTCTCCCCCATCACTTCCCCCCTCACGTCTCCCCCATCACCTCCCCCCTCACGTCTCCCCCATCACCTCCCCCTTCACGTCTCCCCCATCACCTCCCCCCCTCACGTCTCCCCCCATCATCTCCCCCCTCACCTCCCCCCCTCACGTCTCCCCCATCATCTCCCCCCTCACGTCTCCCCCATCACCTCCCCCCTCACGTCTCCCCCATCATCTCCCCCCCCACCCCCCCACGTCTCCCCCATCATCTCCCCCCTCACCTCCCCCCCTCACGTCTCCCCCATAATCTCCCCCCTCACGTCTCCCCCATCACCTCCCCCCTCACGTCTCCCCCCTCACCTCCCCCCCTCACGTCTCCCCCCATCATCTCCCCCCTCACCTCCCCCCCTCACGTCTCCCCCATCATCTCCCCCCTCACGTCTCCCCCATCACCTCCCCCCTCACGTCTCCCCCATCATCTCCCCCCCACCCCCCCACGTCTCCCCCATCATCTCCCCCCTCACGTCTCCCCCATCATCTCCCCCCTCACGTCTCCCCCATCACCTCCCCCCTCACGTCTCCCCCATCATCTCCCCCCTCACGTCTCCCCCATCATCTCTCCCCTCACGTCTCCCCCATCATCTCCCCCCCCCCCCCCCCCCCCCGTGTGTGCAGTGGCGATGCCCCTGGCCATGGAGGTGATGAGAGGAGGCAGCAGCAGCAGCGGCAGGAGTGGAGATGGCGCTATGACCCAGGGCTTCACCGTGAAGGCGAGGATGAAGAACGCCGTGGTGAGATCCGCGTGGTGGCTGCTGCTGCTGGTGATGGTGGTGGTGATGATGGTGGTGATGGTGGTGGTGGTGATGGTGGTGGTGTAGTGGTCAGCGCGCTGCGCTACGAACCTGGCAGCCCGAGTGCGATTCCCGCTCACGGCCAACACCGGTGACGATTATCTGAACCGGTCCTGGGCCTCCCCTAGGTCGACTCAGCCTCAAATTGAGTACCTGGTGCGGTATGTAAACATCGCCACTGGGGAGACAAAGGTGGCCGAGCGTGGTGCTGGTTACCCACCCAATCGCAAGCCGTGCCGACCTTCACAGGTGCTCGCTAACAGCACTTGCCCCTACAGTCTAAGGCGATACGGGGGATCTTAGTCTTTGGTGGTGATGGTGGTGATGGTGGTGTGGATTATGTTGTTGTTGTTGGTGCTGGTATCGGTGATTTGGCTCTGGTAGTGGGGGTAATGTTGTTGTTGTTGTGATGTTGGTGATGGGGGTGTGGGGGTAGCGGTAGTGTAGCGGTCAGCGCGCTGCGCTACGAATCCGGCGAGCCGGGATCAGAATATGTATTTACACTGCAGGAGGACTCCGATGACCTATAAAGATTTTTTTCACAGATGCCCAGTAGGGGCGGGTAAGAACGTTCCAACAACAATACAACACACAAACATGATAGTAGTACAAAACCAATACCAGTGACGATTATCTGAACCGGTCCTGGGCCTCCCCTATGTCGATTCAGCCTCAAATGAGTACCTGATGAAGGTGTGTAAACATCACCACTGGGGAGACAAAGGCGGTCGGGCGTGGTCTTGGCCACCCATCCCCTTTATGTTCCGTGTCGGCCCTTATAGGTGCTCGCTAACGATGTTGGTGATGTTGTTGTGGGGGTAATGTTGTTGGTAGTGATGGTCGCGGCGGTGACATCCGCTTGATGGTGGTTTCGGCGATGGTAGTGGTGATTTTGGCAGAGGGGTGGTGGTGTTGGAAGTGAAGATAATGTTGATAGGGGTGGTGATGTTAGTGATGGGGTTGTGGTGGTAATATTGGTGAGGGTGGTGGTAGCGGTGATGTTGATGGTAAAGTGGTGATGGTGGCTATGATGCTAGCAGTAGTGATGTTTGTGTGAATAACGTTGGTGGTGCTGTGGTGGTGGTGGCGGTGATGGTAGTGTGGGTAATCTTGGTTGTGGTGATGGTGCTGGTGATGTTGGTGATGGGGTAGTGTGGACAATGGTGGTGGTGTGCTGGTGGTGGTGATGATGGCAGCGGTGATTTTGGTGATGGTGATGTTGGTGATGGTAGTGTAGGTAATCTTGGTTGTGGTGATGGTGGTGATGGGGAAGTGTGGGTAATGGTGTTGATGGTAGCAGTGATGTTAGCTATGATAATGGGGGATAATGGTGATGTTGGTGATGGTAGTAATGCTGCTGGTGGTGTAGTGGTGGTGATGATTTAATGCCACTGATGTGTACGATTTTGAGTTGACAATCTTACAATTGCGACGATGATGGTTGTGGGAGATGTATGGATCGTGGTCCTAGTTGGTGGAAGCTGGCCATGCACAATATTACATGGACACACCATTAAGCCACCCCTCCCACTATCGATTAAAAACACACAAATAAACACCCCCCCCCCCCCGGTTTAGCCTCGTATGTGCGCTGAACTTCATTAGCATTGTACGTAGCCAACCGTGCTAATCGGAGGTGCGGGGGAAGGACAGGGAACTAGTAGGAAGGCGGTCTCTGTGGACCACGACTTTTGGGGCAAGTGCTGTTCGGGAGCTCCTACGAAGGCTGGCACGGCACACGAGGGCGTGGGTAGCCAGCACCACACACCACACCACGTATCTGTTTGAGGCTGAGTCAACCTCGGAGAGGCCCATGACCGGTTCAGATAATGGTCACCGGTGTTGGCCATCGAACTCGGGTCGCCGTGTCCATAGCGCAGCGCGCCAACCACTGCACTGTTCGAGCGCGCACACGCACACACAATGTGCCCCCCCTCGTGTCCCCTACTCGCACCCATGCCCCCCCCCCCCGTACCGTTCATCTGTAACCACATTCTCCACGTGCCTCCCCCCCCCCCCCCCGCCCCTGCGTGTCCCCCCTCCTCGTCCCAGGTGTTGGGCCCCCCGTCGGCGGGCGCGTTCCGCGAGCGCCCCTCCAAGCCGACGGCGTTTCGCAAGTTTTACGAGCGGGGAGACTTCCCCATCGCCCTGGAGCACGACACCAAGGGCAACCGCATCGCGTGGAAGGTGACCGGCAGGGGTGGATGGGGGGGCATGCAGATCCCCCGTGAACGTGCAGAGTTAGGGGTATGCACAGCGGTGGGCGGTGAAGGGGAGGAGGACTTGAGGTTCGGTGTCGTCGTTGAGCTGCGGGTGCCGGCCGAGGCCGCGTCGTGCGCGCGGGACACGTGGGGATCGGGGCCCAGTGAGGCGGCGGTGGCCACGCCGCTAGCCACGCCGCTGGCCTCGTTGGTGGTGGGCGGTCGGAGGAGGTGGACTCGGTCGGAGATGGGGAGGAGGCACAGCTTGAGAAGTGCAAGGGGGGAGGGTGCCGAGGAGGGGTCCTCGTGGCACTGCTGGGCACGCGGTGCTTCTAGTCGCAGACACGGTGGGGGTGGGGAGGGGGTGCGAGAGGTGAGAGGGGGGACCAGGAGAGCGCCGTTTGCCGGAGATGCCTGGGACGGTAACGGTGGAGCAGAGTCACAGCCGCCACGCGGCGTCTGCTCGCTCCTCCAGAGATAGAGAGAGGGCGGGGGGGGGGGCGACTCAGAGGCGCCAAGAGGCAGAACCAGCACAACACTTGCGTGATCCACCAACCCTGGCCTCAACCCGGGTCAACTGTGGGTGAGTAGGCAGACTGGAGGAGTAGGCAGACTGTGGGGGAGTAGGCAGACGGTGGAAGAGTAGGCAGACTGTGGAGAAGTAGGCAGACGACTGTGAGCCGACGAGTTAGCGAGCGCCTCTCCCCAGGTGGAGATTGAGAAGTTGGACTACCACCACTACCTGCCGCTCTTCTTCGACGGCCTCTGCGAGACGGCGCACCCCTACGAGTTCTTTGCACGCCAGGGTGTGCACGACCTCCTGGAGCACGGCGCCGCCAAGGTCCTCCCCGTCATCCCGCAACTCATCATCCCCGTCAAGAGTGAGCCGCGCCTCCATCACCATCATCACCGTCGTCACCATCATCATCATCACGATCATTACCATCATCATCGTCACTATCATCGTCACCATCATCATCTCTTTTAAGAGTCAGCGGCACCTCCGTCGCCATCATCATCGTAGTCACCATCACAAACATCATCACCATTGTCACTATCGTCACCATCATCGTTGTTGTTGTTTTCCTCGCACTTTCCGTTTATAGGTGGTGTTGCGTCGCCACTTTGGAAGGGTTTAGCCAGAGAACAATAGATTTAATTTTTGGTCCGCGTTGTGGGCCACTGAGAAAATGGGAGACGTCTTTTGGCGTTGCTTGGCACAAAGGGCAGCAGTTTGGGGTGTTTGGGTTGTATCGATTTTGGTAATCGGCTAGCATGGAGCAGTAACCTGAATGGAGTTTAGCCAGTTTTGTGCGAGTTGCCCGGGTCAGGGATTTTTGCTATGGGTGGGGGCCAACCCCCAAGCGCAACATTGGGGGCTTGTGTAGGCGTTCAGGCAGTGCATGGTGCCAGCGGTGTGCAAGTGGTTAAAAATTGATTTGGTGGTGCTATTTGGTGGAAGAGCATTTAAAGTAGATTGCACGTTGGCAGAGCTGAAGGAAAGCAAGGTGGATTTACTTTTCCTAGCAGGTGCAGGGGCTTTGAGTAGCTTTGTGCAAGGATGCATTGTCAAATGGCATGAAGCCAGATATTGATCAGTGAGAAGCTTGCAGTGTTCTTTAATCGTAAGAACTTTGGTTTTTTGGTGGAGATGGTCAATGGGCGCCATGAGGTGGCATCATGTGGCTAGTATAAGTGCTTGGTTTTGGGCGGTTTGGAGCTTTTGGTAACCTGTAGAGTAGAGGTTTGGGCACCAAATGGGACTGGCATAATTGAGGGTCAACACAATGGGTAGGTGTCGGATCCAAGGATCGTAAAGACTTGCCAGTCGATTGATGAAAGGAGGTTTCCTGACGATATTGAGATATCTGGTGAGGATGAAGGGCCAGATGATGGAACTCTGGTTTGAATATTTTCATTAAGTACCCCATAGGGGGAGCCGTTGAAGATATTGGCAATGAGGTCGCCACGTGCGTCTGAAAGGGAAGAGTGCCAAAGTTTGTTGTGGGCGTTGAAATCTCCAATAACAATTGAGTCGTTGTTTGGTAAAAGTCGATTTATATTGAACTGATAGTTGGGAGGGCAAGAACTGGTTGGTTGGATGTAGACATTGATTATAGTAAGTGGGCCTAGATGGGATTTGATACGGACGCTTAAGACTTCTGTGGTGATATCAGAAGGAGGCATTGGGATCTAAATTTCTTCAAATTGAATGCTGTTATGGATGAGGAAAGCTAGACCGCCACCAGCTGTTGGTAGGTCTCGACGGAGGAAAGTGAAATTTTGTAAGTTGGGCGGACGAGAAGTGGATTTAAATTTTGTTTCTTGGATGGCGGCTATATTAATGGAGTTTTGTTGTAGGAAGGTGTTGAGTTCAAGAGATTTCTTGTTGATGCCGTTGATGTTTAGTTGAAGGATTTTTAGGTTGTTTTTGTTGTGGACGTTTTGTTGTGGTTGAAACGGTGGTTGCAATGGATGAGGTGGTGGTGCTAGTGTGATTTTACAAGGTGGAGTTGTTGGAGTAGATAATGTACAATATTTGCAGAACCAGCCGGAATTTGAACTTGGGATGTAGGCTAAAGTAGTGCAGCATTTATGGTACCAAGCTTGACAACCGTTGCGTTGGATAGAATTTGCATTGACGTTCTTGCCGCAGCCGCCACAAGGGAAAAACGGGCCTGGATTCAATTCGACGTCCCCATCAATAATGAGAAGCCAGCTCCAGTATGCCGGCAGGCCTGGGCTGGCTGGTGAAAAAACAGGAAAGTGCGAGAGGTGATGATGTTGCCATTTGCAAGTGCTTTCGTAGTACTTGGTCTCTCCACTTCGAACAAGCGGCAACACTGGAGAGACCATCATCGTTGTCACCCTCGTCGTCACCATCATCATTTCCGTAAAGAGTAAGCGGCGCCTCCATCACTATAATCGTCATCACCATCATTATCATCCCTACCATGTGACGATTATCTGAACCAGTCTACTAGGAAGATAAAGGCGGTGGGGCACAGTGTTGGCCACCCATGCCCTCGAGCACCGTGGCAGATAATGAAGGCCGGCCTTGCCCCAACAGTCTTCTCAGACTATACAGGGCATCTTTGTCTTTGTATGTACAGTCTGTATGGCTACACGGGAGACTGTGTGTGTTGTACTATGGCTACACGGGAGTCTGTGTGTGTGTGTGTGTACTATGTGTGTACTATATAATATGGCTGGTGGGTTGGTGGTTGCCTAAATCACAAGGTGATGTGATGCACATAGTGCAGTAATCACGATTAGCTGAGGTGCATGCCCGCTTGCTTGCTTGCCTGCTGCTCTGCTTGCTATGTTTTGCTACCCTTGCTTTCAAACGCTGCCGCTGGCTAGCCATCATGGTGAAACAGGAAGCCGAGTGCGTAAGTATTCCTTGCCAGTACAGAGCCTCTCCATCACCAAGACTCCGAATGTGCCTCCCCGTTGGCAGCCCATAGTAATGGGTGTCCCGCGACACCAGGTCAAACCAGTAGGGGATCTCGGAGCTGCAGTGGTCCCCAGAGGCATCTACAACTTGCCAACCACTGCCCCACTACCTTGTGGGTAAACTTTGGCTAGAGGAGAAAACCCTGACTCCAAATATGTGGTGGGGACCTGCAATGGTGGTATTCAACAAATCGGATCTCCGGTAGTCCTCTGCAGCTCTTGTCAGACGAAGGTTGCAGTGAGTTCCTCATGCCACCTGAGTCTGTTTGGCTTGAGTGAAGATGGTTGGCGTAGGGACTATCGCACCCCGACTCTCACCTTTTTCCACTCCCAGCGCAGGCTTCTTGCTCCAACCCCTCCCCCCCCCTTATTATTAAGCCCTACGGCGACAGCGAATGGCAGAACATGCAGGTCAAGGATGTGACTGGGAGCATCTAGCCAAACTCTGCACGTAGGCAGCGATGGCGTGTAGGTCGCCAAGACAAGTGATGGGACAGCGTATCTCCTCGGCAGCTTCCATCATGTCTGAGCAACCCCGCACTGCTCATCCCTGATGGGAAAGGACCTATAAAAGGTGGTCTAAAAACTGTCTGTTCCACTCACGCCGAGTGGTTACCCGCTACCACCGGAACATCCCATTCAGCGGCCAAAACTCAAGGAAATCCAAGACTGGGTTACTCCTTCAAGTTGCTTCATGGAACGTCCACACCCTCCTGGACTCCAACGAAAAAACCGACAGACCGTACAGAAGGACAGCCCTCGTGGCCCATGAACTCAGGAAATACAACATCGACATTGCAGCGCTCAGTGAAAGCCACTTACATGGAGAAGACTCTCTCACAGAGGTTGGTGCTACACCTGGAAGGGTGTTCCAGAAGATTAACGCTCCCAACATGCTGTGAAAACCTCAATCGTTCAACGCGTCACTGAATCCCCTGTTGGCATTAGTGAGCGGCTGATGACGTGGCGCATTCCCTTGGATGGGGGGCGCTTTGCCACGCTCATCAGTGGCTATGCGCCTACACTAGAAGCAGACAATGACACCAAGGAGGCCTTCTATAAAGTTCTCGACACTGCCATTAACAACACACCACATACCGACAAGCTACTCCTCATGGGAGACTTCAATGCCTGGGTACTAGGCCGGCATGTGGAAAAGCAACTGTAGGAAAAATTCCAGGAGCAAAACAAAGACCTCTTCATAGCTTGTATCGACCTCACCAAAGCATTCGACACCATCAACCAGCGAGATACTCTGGCAGCAGCCCGTTAAACTTGAGGTGCCTCCCAAGTTTCTAAGCATTCTAAACAGTTCCATGAAGGAATGCATGCCAGAGTGGTGCTTGGTGGGCTTCAATCAGGGCCCTTCAACGTGGAGGTCGGGGTCAAGCAATGCCGTGTTCTGGCTCCAGTCATTTTCAACATGGCTCCTTGCTGCCATCACAAGCCTGGCACACAACTCCCTCAACTCAATCGACTGAATCCAGCGACAGTACCGTCTGGATGGAAATCTCCTCAACCTAAGACGCCTCCAAGCCCACACAAAGCCCAGAACCCAACAGATCTTTGAACTGCAATATGCAGACGACCATGACTCCTGACCCCATATAGGCAGCACATTAACATCCTGGAGGCCTTCTAAATCAGATGCCTCCAGCGCATCCTCGGGCTAACCTGGAAGGACAAAGTTCGACATACTGAGATCCTCACCAACACCAAGTCGTCCTGCATTGAGGCAAGCATGGCCATATGACACCTCCACTGGCTTGGCCACGTGATCCACATGTCTGACCACCGCCTCCTCCGTCGAGTTCTCTATTGCCAACTCAGCGCAGCCAAACGCTGGAGGACAGAAAAAGCGCTTCAACGACCACAGCAAGGACCTGCTGAAGCACTGTAACATGAATCCCTCCAGCATGGAACCACTGGCGCTGGACAGGTCCTCCTGTGCCAGAGGGGTTCAGCACCTGGAAGACACCATCTCAGACGAGATGCCAGAGACGCACCCAGAGACACCTATGGCTACACGTCAGTGTGTGTGTGTACTATGGCTACACGTGAGTGTGTGTGTGTACTATGGCTACACGTCAGTGTGTGTGTGTGTGTACTATGGCTACACGTCAGTGTGTGTGTGTGTACTATGGCTACACGGGAGTGTGTGTGTGTACTATGGCTACACGGGAGTGTGTGTGTGATATGGCTACACAGGAGTATGTGTGTGTGCGCTATGGCTACACGGCAGTGTGTGTGCGTACTATGGCTACAGGTGAGTGTGTGTGTACTATAGCTACACGTCAGTGTGTGTGTGCGCTATGGCTACACGTCAGTGTGTGTGTGTACTATGGCTACACGTGAGTGTGTACTATGGCTACACGGGAGTGTGTGTGTGCTATGGCTACACAGGAGTATGTGTGTGTGCGCTATGGCTACACGGCAGTGTGTGTGTGTGTACTATGGCTACACGTCAGTGTGTGTGTGCGCTATGGCTATACGTGTGTGTGTGTGTACTATGGCTACACGTCAGTGTGTGTGTGCGCTATGGCTACACGTCAGTGTGTATGTGTACTATGGCTACACGTCAGTGTGTGTGTGCGCTATGGCTATACGTGTGTGTGTGTGTACTATGGCTACACGTCAGTGTGTGTGTGTACTATGGCTACACGTCAGTGTGTGTGTGCTATGGCTACACGTCAGTGTGTGTGTGCGCTATGGCTACACGTCAGTGTGTGTGTGTACTATCGCTACACGTGAGTCTGTGTGTGTGCACTATGGCTACACGGGAGTGTGTGTGTGTGTACTATGGCTACACGGGAGTGTGTGTGTGTGTGCTATGGCTACACGGGAGTGTTGGTGTGTGTGTGTCTGTGTGTGTGTTCGTGCGTGTGTCCAGATGCGCTGAACACGCGCAACACGCAGGTGATGTGCACGTCGCTCAAGGTGCTGCAGCACCTGGTGCTGTCGGCCGACATGGTGGGTGAGGCGCTGGTGCCCTACTACCGCCAGATTTTGCCCATCCTCAACATCTTCAAGAACAAGAACCGTGAGCGGAGACTCGAACCCTACGACCCCCCCCCATCACCCAGCCGGACTCCTCGCCAACACACGAGCGAGCAGCCCCGTGCTGCAACTCAGTCACGTGCAACTCAGCCCCGTGCAACTCGGTCACGTGCAACGCCCCAGTACACACATTTTTTCTCACCGCTAAAAAACGTTAGAACCCTGCAAAATTGTTTTAGATAGTAATCAGGTTGAATCTACTGCATCGCGTGTAGCAACCGCCGAGTTGCTCCGGTGCAGCGCGGATATGAAACTCCCAACCGTGACCCTGACCCTGCTCCTGTCTCTAACCCTGACGACTCTAACCCTGACCCTGATCGACCTTATCCCTGGCTACAACCATGACTCCGACTGTGACTGTGACCCTCTCTCCAGCCCTGACCCCGTTTCAGCGCCTGTCCCCGACGAGTCCAAGTGAAGTGAACACCGTGAGACAATCAGCCAAGATAAACCCACCACCGCCACCACCATGGCCATCACCACTTCCACCACCGCCACGGCGACCTCCACTTCTGCCATCTCCACCACCTCCACCACCACGACCACTAACTACCACCACCTCCACCACCATGACCACTAACTACCACCACCTCCACCACCATGACCACTAACTACCACCACCTCCACCACTACTACCACCACCTCCACTACCACCACCTCTACCACTACTACCACCACCACCACTACCATTACCAGCTCTGCCTGCCCCCAGGTGCCACTCCGGTAACGCTCTCCCCGGTTCCCCTCCCCCACACCCCACCCCCCACCACTCCCCGTAGGGAACTCTGGCGACGAGATCGACTACAGCCAGCAGAAGCGCGAGAACGTGGGCGAGCTGATCGAGGAGACGCTGGAGACGCTGGAGCGCCACGGCGGCGAGGATGCCTTCATCAACATCAAGTACATGGTGCCCACCTACGAGTCCTGCCTGCTCAACTAGCCGGGACCCCAACCCAACCAGCCGGGCCTCTCCCCCCCCCCCCCCTCAACCAGTCGCCCCCCCCACCCCCCCCTCAACCAGTCGCCCCCCCCCCCACCCCCCCCTCAACGAGCCCGGCCCCCCACTCAACTACCCGGGCCCCCCACTCAGCTTGCCCAGCCTCCCGCGACTGGCCCAACCCCCTCTCCCGCCGCTCTACTGAGATGGTTTAAATAAAGTTTTTCAATCAGTGTGAGTCATGTCCACCGACGTGTGCGAGCGTGAGGAGCAGTGGCGCTATGGTTAGCACTGCATTGCGCCACGAACCCGGCCACCCGAGTTCGATTCCCGTTCACGGCCACCAACACCAGTGACGAATATCTGAACCGGTGCAGGGCATCCCCTGGGTTGACTCAGCCTTAAACTTTGGGTAGGCAAAGGCGGCCGGGCGCGGTGCTTTCCACCCACCCCCTCGTGTGGCGTGCCGGCCTTCATAGGTGTTACTGACTCACAGCACTTGCCCCTACGGTCTGTTGAAGGCTATACGGGGGATCTTTGTCATATTCGCACACACTCTTCCCCCCCACCTCCAGCAGAGAGACAATGCACGCAGCTTTAACTCTCCAGCTGTAGCGAGTGCTGCTGCCCTCGGGCCGTTCCACCGGGGGTCGGAATAGAACGCGCCCGCCAGAGGACGTCCACTGGGGAGATGGAGCGGTCCATGAGATTGGCTCCTAGACGGATCGTTCCACGGCGTGGCCTTACGGAGATGATACAGGCGGCTTAGGAGGGGGGGTGGGAGTCCTTTATCGGGCAGTGGATAGTTCATGGCTGGTGATGATGAACCTGGTTTGAACTTAAATGTTCTCGGCTTGTGACTCAGCACTGTGGACCAGGCGGCGAGGGTTGGTGGATCACACGCAGATGCCGTGAAACTTCCTTCCATGGGCGTCGAGGAGGAGCCTCACCCTCCTGGCTCGCCAGGAGAAGGTGGTAATAGCAAAACATGTTGACTCCATCTGTTCCATCTGTACGGGATGGAGCCAACGTAGCCAACCGATTAACAGGGTCGGGTGTGTACGGTGAGAAAGAAGTTGGAAGTTCAAGGGGTAAAGTGCTTAGCCAATCTTCTTGGTTCTTTCGGTAAAGTCACGTAGAAGGGAAGTAATAAAATAATAAAAATAAAACATAATAAAACAATTCTCACGACGTTTCGGCCACAACGCAAGCAGCCGTCCTCAGGTGAAAACCAGGTCCGTCGAGGCGACAGAGTCTGAATGAAACAGCACACGGGCTTGGAGCATATATATAAGCTGGGCGCATTGACAAAGGAATTTGCATATCAACAGGAATTTAGCATATTTATGGGAAATGCAGGAATGTGATTAGTACTGCATATGCATGTGCATTATGCAGGATTAACAGCATCAAAGGGAGCTGCAGTTACTGCTGCTGCAGTAGTTGCTGCTGCTGCTGCAGTTTCTGCTGCTGCTGTACTTGCTTCTGCTGCTGCACTTGCTGCTGCTGCTGCACTTGCTGCTGCTGCTGCAGTTGCTGCCTTATCCATTTTAATATAACACTGTGTATTATTCTACCCACCCTAATGTGTATCATACTGCTATATGTTTACTGTACAATTACGACACCATACATTACTCTGCACACTGCACCATGCCAGTGAGTGGAACGCGGTCTGAAAGTCACCGTTAACGTGAACACAATCAGTTAAGATCCGAAATGGTTTATTACGTCCTTCCAATGATTGCTAAGCCAGAATCCATCTTCTCGGTTGAAATTGTCTCTGTGTTTGTATATGTGGATCGCCTCATGAACGAATCTCTCATGATAGCTTAGCCAATCACACGCGCGGATTTTCCTCACACACACACACGCAATAATCACCCATTAGTGGGCTCAAAACACCTGGATATATAGAGGACCGCAGAGCTTGGCAATTGTTGGTAGCGCTGGCTTATCACCACGTGGCTGCTGCTGCTGCCTCCCTGCTCGTCTGTGGTTCCTCCTGGCACCGCTGAGTCGTTCTCTCTCTCTCTCTCTGTGAGAGCGAGGGGACACCGTTAAGCGGCTGGGCAGCGTTACGAGTCGGCGTTGAATATAAATGTAAAACGATACGCAATCAAATGAAATGCACCATGGGGAACTCAAGAGGTTGAATTTCGGTGATCTCATTCGCTGGGTGTCTCGCCAAGGCTCGTCACGCACGCCCCGCGATTGCCCTGCAATCAACCACTCCACGTATTCGACTGGTGTTGCAGCGAGCCTGCGGAATTCATTCTGCTGTAACCTCTCGCATCGGCCGCCACCACCTGTTCCACTCGAGACCCACACGCACGCGGACACCGTTTCTCGTTCTGCTGCAGGTTCTCAAGCGACACGCTGGCACACACAACACAAAACGTGCGTTTGGCTGCGCACAAACCATCACCGGTTCCTCTGAAGAGGGTCCGTGCATTGTGGTCGCTTTGTCGTCGTCTATCCAGCCCGCACTGCTATTGTTCTCGCACGATGCGGACGTCTCGTCGTTGCTATGTACGCCAAACCCTTGCCCCATCGCGGATTTGTCGATTGCGGGGATATTTTTCAAGAAACCTGACCCCCCCCCCCCCCCCGCGATGGTCAAGGTTTTGGTGTACTTTGAGCAGCCCCAGTGTCGATGATCGTCAAACCTGGTGGTCTATCCTGCCGTGAGGTGCCGTGCAGAGACACCGGCACAAACCAATTCCTGCTGCTGCCACCCGGAACGCAGATGACGCCAATTCCCGGACCGAAACCGGGTCAAACCCGGAACAGGTGGCAACCCGAAGTGAATCGCTTCCCAGGCATGGGGGGCTGGGGTGTTAAGCGGGGGGGGGGGGGGCATACACCTATCCTCGTATCCGTACATTCTACCCCTGTTATCCAGACGAACGTAAACGACAGCGAGAAAAATTTACCGCCGCTCCAGAGTAACTATCATGCACTCCCCGGGCAGCTTGCACCCCACAGCCCCACACTTCCTCCCCCCGTCTAAACCACCTGGATTAACCAAGGCAGCCGATGAGTTCAAACCGCGAACATCTACAACAAGTGGCGAATGCGCCGCATCCTGGAAAGTTGCCCGAGGCAGTTCGCATCCAACGTCGAGGTCTCCAATCGCTGCGGAATCTCGCTGTGAGAATCGCTCTCTGGCTCACCGGGTGAGTGTGGGTGTGAGTGGGTGAGCGAGTGTGAGAATCGCTCTCTCACTCACCGGGTTAGCGTGGGTGTGAGTGGGTGAGCGGGTGTGATAATTGCTCTCTGGCTCACCGGGTGAGTGGGTGTGAGTGGGTGAGCGAGTGTGACAATCGCTCTCTGGCTCACCGGGTGAGTGTGGGTGTGAGTGGGTGAGCGAGTGTGACAATCGCTCTCTGGCTCACCGGGTGAGTGTGGGTGTGAGTGGGTGAGCGGGTGTGAGAATCGCTCTCTCGCTCACCGGGTGAGTGTGGGTGTGAGTGGGTGAGCGGGTGTGAGAATCGCTCTCTCGCTCACCGGGTGAGCGTGGGTGTGAGTGGGTGAGCGAGTGTGACAATCGCTCTCTGGCTCACCGGGTGAGCGTGGGTGTGAGTGGGTGAGCGAGTGTGACAATCGCTCTCTGGCTCACCGGGTGAGTGTGGGTGCGAGTGGGTGAGCAAGTGTGACAATCACTCTCTCGCTCACCGGCTGAGTATTCGCCGCAACGTGTTAAGACGCTCGCACGCCACGCGACTTTAATTCGATCCGCTGAATCGGGTGGGGTGGTGGAGGGGACTCACAACACAAACTCCCCCAGGTCATTAACCCCGTCGTGGCCTGACCCACAAAACCATAGACTCCGGGCAGCCTTCATCTAACAACACAAACACACGACACGTTCTATACAGCCCCCCCCCAGCCCCCAGTATCCGTAGCTAAACGATAAACACCGGTAGGCCTCGGCAAGGTAAGGTAATTTACCCTTTTTACCGGGTAAAAGGGTAAAGGTGTTGACATGCCAAGGGGTAAGGTGAAGGGTACAGGGTAAAGGTAGCTCGGAAGAAACGGTGCCTTAGCGCGGCGAGAGAGTTTGTGTACGTCTGAGAAGCTGATCGCTATACCGTCGAGAGCCTAGTGCTCTCAGAAGGGTCACCCAAGGCGGGAAGACTTCAGTGGAGACGTCAGACAAAACCCGTTTCGAAAGGTCCCCACATGACCTTTTCAAATAAATGGTGATCCAAGAAAGCAACGGGAAACTACTTGGATTATTTCTCCCTTGAAAACTTCAATGATGACAAGCAAAATCAACAAAGGCCCTGAGTATCGGCGTCCTTTAAATAGGACAGGGGTGCTAAGAATCTCCGAGCTTGTGTCAAAGAACCCTTTCAAAGTAGCAACTTGGAACGTTAGAAGTTTACTTCAAGCAGGAAAACTAGCCAATGTCATACAAGAAATGGATCGACTTAAAATCAACATAATCGGTCTAAGCGAAACTAAATGGCCTGGAACAAAAAAGTTTATATCGAGCGAACACCACATCTTCTGCTCCGGAGGAGAAGAAAACACCAAACAAACATACGGTGTCGCCTTTATAGTACACAAGAAATTAGCGAATAAAGTCAACAACTTTACCCCAGTATCAGAACGAATAGCACTACTACAATTAGCAGGCAGCAAAGTCAACGTGAACATTCTACAGGTTTATGCCCCAACAGCAGATAAACAAGATCATGAAATCGAATCGTTCTATGAGCAACTAACCAACACGCTGAAGCCGCTGAAGAAGCAAGACATCACTATAATCCTCGGCGATTTCAATGCCAAGGTTGGCCACGGTCGAATGCAGAACATTGTCGGAGAACACGGACTAGGAACAAGGAATGAACGAGGCGACAGACTGGTTCAATTCTGCCAAGAAGAACGTTTCAGTATTGCTAACACGTGGTTCCAATTACCACCTCGACGACTGTACACGTGGACCTCGCCGCAAGACTCCGACAACAACATCGTCAGGAACCAAATCGATTATATCCTAATTAACATCAGGTTTAAGTCCAGTGTGATTACAGCAAAAACCTACCCTGGAGCCGATATATCGTCAGATCATAACCCAGTAACAGCTACAATAAGACTCAAATTGCGATCAATACAATGTACAAAGACGAGACGAGCAGACCTGGAGAAACTGAAGAACAGCGCCGATAAAAGACAAGTACAGCAACATCTCAACGATAGCATCCGCTCAATAACAACAGAAACAGCAGATGTTCAGGAGTACTGGCGCTCGTTCAAACAATGCATCACAGAAACAACAGAAGTCATGCTGGGACATCAGCCACCGAAAAAGAAACAACGATGGATGACATATTGTATTCTCGATCTAATGAGCCAACGAAGAATATACAAAAACAACAACTTGGAGAAGTACAAACAAATGCAACAGAAGATCAGAGAAGCAATCCGACAGGCAAAAGAAAAGTGGATGGAAGAACAATGCGCCGAGATGGAAGAACTAATTAAAAAACATGACAATTTTACTCTGCACAATAAGCTCAAAGAAGCTGGTAACATCTACAGACCAGCCCCAACAGCTACCTTGTATGCGGACAACAACCAACCAATCCTAAATAAACAAGAAAAAATGGACACCTGGACAAACTATATACACAAGCTCTATGGCGCCACGAGAACACCTGCAGAAAAAGACCAACATATGTCGAAAGACGCTCTACACATTTTAACATCAGAAGTAGAACATGCAATCAAAACAGCTAAGTCAGGCAAAGCGTGCGGGCCCGACACAATCCATGTAGAATTGCTCAAACTATTAGACAGTAACAACATACGACAACTGACTAATTGGTACAATCAAATATACATTGGCAATAAAATTCCATCCGACTGGCTACAATCCATCTTTGTGGCCATACCAAAGAAAGCAACAAGCCGGAAATGCGAGGACTACAGACTGATAAGCTTGATGAGCCACGTGCTGAAAGTCTTCCTGAAGGTGATCCAACAGCGCATACGCTCCACATGCGAAAATGCATTGAAGAACACACAGTTTGGCTTCTGCAAAGGACTAGGCACAAGAGAAGCAATCTTCTGTCTACAGATACTACTACAGCGATGCTACGAACATCAGAAAGAAGTGTACATCTGCTTCATAGATTACGAGAAAGCCTTTGACTCAGTCGACCACGACCGACTAGCAGCTCTATTAAAACAACTGGGACTAGATAAAAACGACATCAACTTCATCATTGCTCTTTATTGGAAGCAAACAGCCCAACTCCGATATGACAACGAATTGACAGACCCAACACCAATACAAAAAGGTGTACGACAAGGCTGCCCACTTTCACCCAGTCTTTTCAACATCTACTCGGAGCAGATTTTTGATCGAACACTAGCAGATAAAAACATTGGTATTAAAGTCAATGGACAATACATCAACAACATCAGGTATGCCGACGACACTGCACTGCTGGCCGATTCGGAACAAGACCTACAACAAATCTTGGACGAGGTTGCCACAGAGAGTCAAATATGGGGCTTACGAATTAATAAAAAGAAAACAAAGGTTATGAAGGTCAGCCGAACTACAAGCAAAATAACAATCAAGCTTGGCAGCGAAAAATTGGAACAAGTACACCGATTTAAATACCTTGGTGTAATCATTGACGATCAGTTGAACCATGAAGTCGAAATCAAGAGCAGAATTGAACAAGCAAGGCAAGCATTTATTAAATGGAAAACACTCCTTGCAGACCGCAACTTGAGTACATCACTGAAACTGCGCACACTGAAATGCTACATCTGGTCAATTTTGCTGTACGGAGTAGAGACGTGGACATTGACAACAACAGCAACAAAAAGGCTCGAAGCTTTCGAGATGTGGCTGTATCGAAGAATGCTGAAAATCCCATGGACAGCCAAAACCACCAATACACAAGTTCTGCAAGATATGGGCACTGACAGGCAACTGCTGAAGACCATCATTAGCAGGAAGTGTTACTACCTAGGCCACATTGCCCGAAACGACCACAAATACCAGCTATTAAAGCAAATCCTGGAAGGAAAAATCGAAGGGAAAAAACGACCAGGACGGCCAAAAACGACATGGCTCAGTAACATCAAAACATGGCTACAATTAACAACAGCACAAACTCTACACGCCGTGCTAGACCGGGACCAATATCATCGTGAAGTCGCACACGCCGTTAGGCAGCACTAAAGAAGAAGAAGGAAGAATTACCCGGTAGGGTAAAGGTAGCGCAAAGTATTACCCGGTAAATACGGTGCCTTGTTTACCGCTAGAAGCTCCGTGGCGCAGTCCGTGGCCTCCATTTAATAAGTAAAAACTGTTTTTTAAACACGCTTTTATGAAATGTACTAGTAATGGCAGAACTCCAAAACTCCAGGAAGTGGCCCCGAAGTTTGCCATCATGTAAGGGACCGTGGCCAAATACAGCCAACGTCAGTTGAGCGTGGACAATTAGACCCAAGCCGAAACATAACATATAAAAAAGAATGTTTAAAAATATATCTTTTTTTTATAGAATATAGTATTGTCATCAGTATGACGTAAGTATACCAAGTTTGCAGTCGATACCACATTAGGAAGTGGGTTAAAATTGAGTTATAAGATTTGAGGATACGACAACGACGACGACAACAACGACAACAATGACAACAACGACAAGAACAAGCGTGTAAAATTAGAATCGAGAGTATTCTATATGAAGAATGCGATCAACCTCACAGCATTTACCGTTATAAACCTTGTTCATGTGTAGTAGTACCCCAGTAATTACCCTGTAATCGGGTAATTTGCATGGGGTAAGGGTAAAAGGTAGGGTAAAGGTAGGCTCGTTACTTTTTACCTTTTACCTTACCTGCTAAAGGGTAAAAGGTAGGGTAGAGTGATTGTATTGTGGTAAGGTAAAAGGTAGGGTAAAGGTAGGCTCGTTTTTACCTCTTAACTTTGACCTTACCTTGCCGAGGCCTACACACCGGGTAACGCGATCCCGCTGTAGGCCGCTCGCCGCGGCGGTCTCGCGGTTGGTGCTCGGCAGGCCGCCCCTGGTAAACGCTGCCGTCTCGCGTGCACGCAGTGACCACGACACGGGTACCACGGCCATTTGGTGCGCCGGCGTCATGGTCAAACATTTATTAAAATTATTCGAAGGGCTAAGAACCACGCAGCGGCGGCGGCGGTGGTGGCGGTTGTGGTGGCGGCGGTGGTGGCGGCGGTGGCGGCGGTTGTGGTTGCGGTGGTGGCAGCGGTGGTGGCGGTTGTGGTGGCGGCGGTGGTGGCAGTGGTGGTGGTGGTGGTGGCAGCGGTGGTGGCAGCGGTGGTGGTGGTGGCGCCTCCCAGCGTGGCACGACGAGCGCCCTGCAGCGCCATGACAACCGTAGCAGTCAACTCTGAGAGAGAGAGAGAGGGGGAGTGAGTGAGGGAGAAGTGGGTGGGTGGGTTGGTGAGCGGGTGGGTAAGTGGGTTGGTGAGCGGGTGGGTGAGTGGTTTGCTGAGACCCTAGCACGGCACGGTCTCCACGCACGGCGTTGGGGTCGAGGTGGAGTCGTCACGCTAGGGGTCGGGGTCGAGCTGGAGTCGTCCCGGGAGGGGGACCGGCGGAGGGGACAGCGCCAGGGGGGAGACCGGTGGATGGGGTCGCCCCTCGCCGTGGGGGGCTCCGTCGGGAGAGGCGACGGGGAGCGACGGCGCGGGGAGCGGCGCTGCGAACGGCAGAAGCACAGAGAGTGGGGGGTCAGCATCTGCTTGGCGAGATTCACGCTTCACGTTGAGATTTTGTGTAGCGAGGCGAGGGCCCGAGAGAGCGCCAGAGGAGATTCTCATTGGCGAGAGGGAGGCCGGGGCCTGCCACAATGACCACAGCAATCGCTGACAACAACCAGACAGCAAAGACGCAGAGAGAAGTCAGAGCAGAGACAGACAGATAGAGACCAGAGCAGAGACAGACAAACAGAGATCAGAGCAGAGACAGTCAGAGATCACAGCAGAGACATTCAGAGATCAGAACAGAGACAGACAGACAGAGATCAGAGCAGAGACAGACAGAGACCAGAGTAGAGACAGACAGACAGAGATCAGAGTAGAGACAGACAGATAGAGATCAGAACAGAGAAAGACAGAGATCAGGGTAGAGACAGTCAGAGATCAGAGCAGAGATAGACAGACAGAGATCAGAGCAGAGACAGACAGATAGAGATCAGAGCAGAGACAGACAGAGATCAGAGCAGAGACAGACAGACAGAGATCAGAGCAGAGACAGACAGACAGAGATCAGAGCAGAGACAGACAGATAGAGATCAGAGCAGAGACAGACAGACAGAGATCAGAGTAGAGACAGACAGACAGAGATCAGAGTAGAGACAACCAGATAGAGATCAGAACAGAGACAGACAGAGATCAGAGCAGAGACAGACAGACAGAGATCATAGTAGAGACAGACAGACAGAGATCAGAGCAGAGACAGACAGACAGAGATCAGAGTAGAGACAACCAGATAGAGATCAGATCAGAGACAGACAGACAGAGACCAGAGCAGAGACAGACAGACAGAGATCAGAGCAGAGACAGACAGAGATTAGAGCAGAAATAGACAGACAGAGATCAAAGTAGAGACAGACAGAGATCAGAGCAGAGACAGAGAGACAGAGATCAGAGCAGAGACAGACAGATAGAGATCAGAGCAGAGACAGACAGAGACCAGATCAGCGACAGACAGACAGAGATCAGAGCAGAGACAGACAGACAGAGATCAGAGCAGAGACAGACAGACAGAGATCAGAGTAGAGACAGACAGACAGAGATCAGAGCAGAGCCAGACAGACAGAGATCAGAGCAGAGACAGACAGACAGAGATCAGAGCAGAGACAGACAGACAGAGATCAGAGCAGAGACAGACAGACAGAGATCAGAGCAGAGACAGACAGACAGAGACCAGAGCAGAGACAGACAGACAGAGATCAGAGTAGAGACAGACAGACAGAGATCAGAGCAGAGCCAGACAGACAGAGATCAGAGCAAAGACAGACAGAGATCAGAGCAGAGACAGACAGACAGAGATCAGAGCAGAGACAGACAGATAGAGACCAGAGCAGAGACAGACAAACAGAGATCAGAGCAGAGACAGTCAGAGATCAGAGTAGAGACAGACAGACAGAGATCAGAGTAGAGACAGACAGATAGAGATCAGAACAGAGACAGACAGAGATCAGAGCAGAGACAGACAAATAGAGATCAGAGCAGAGACAGTCAGAGATCAGAGCAGAGACAGACAGATAGAGATCAGAGCAGAGACAGACAGACAGAGATCAGAGCAGAGACAGACAGACAGAGATCAGAGCAAAGACAGACAGACAGAGATCAGAGCAGAGACAGACAGATAGAGATCAGAGCAGAGACAGACAGAGATCAGAGCAGAGACAGACAGATAGAGATCAGAGCAGAGACAGACAGACAGAGATCAGAGCAGAGACAGACAGACAGAGATCAGAGCAAAGACAGACAGACAGAGATCAGAGCAGAGACAGACAGATAGAGATCAGAGCAGAGACAGACAGACAGAGATCAGAGTAGAGACAGACAGACAGAGATCAGAGTAGAGACAGACAGAGATCAGAGCAGAGACAGAGAGACAGAGATCAGAGACAGACAGACAGAGATCAGAGCAGAGACAGACAGAGATCAGAGCAGAGACAGACAGACAGAGATCAGAGCAGAGACAACAGACAGAGACCAGAGCAGAGACAGACAGACAGAGATCAGAGCAGAGACAGACAGATAGAGATCAGAGCAGAGACAGACAGAGATCAGAGCAGAGACAGACAGACAGAGATCAGAGCAGAGACAGACAGACAGAGATCAGAGCAGAGACAGACAGATAGAGATCAGAGCAGAGACAGACAGACAGAGATCAGAGCAGAGACAGACAGATAGAGATCAGAACAGAGACAGACAGACAGAGATCAGAGTAGAGACAGACAGACAGAGATCAGAGCAGAGACAGACAGACAGAGATCAGAGCAGAGACAGACAGATAGAGATCAGAGCAGAGACAGACAGACAGAGATCAGAGCAGAGACAGACAGACAGAGATCAGAGTAGAGACAGACAGACAGAGATCAGAGTAGAGACAACCAGAGAGAGATCAGAACAGAGACAACCAGATAGAGATCAGAACAGAGACAGACAGAGATCAGAGCAGAGACAGACAGACAGAGATCAGAGTAGAGACAACCAGATAGAGATCAGAACAGAGACAGACAGATAGAGATCAGAACAGAGACAGACAGAGATCAGAGCAGAGACAACCAGATAGAGATCAGATCAGAGACAGACAGACAGAGATCAGAGTAGAGACAGACAGAGATCAGAGCAGAGACAGAGAGACAGAGATCAGAGCAGAGACAGACAGATAGAGATCAGAGCAGAGACAGACAGACAGAGATCAGAGTAGAGACAGACAGAGATCAGAGCAGAGACAGAGAGACAGAGACCAGAGCAGAGACAGACAGACAGAGATCAGAGCAGAGACAGACAGACAGACAGAGACCAGAGCAGAGACAGACAGACAGAGATCAGAGCAGAGACAGACAGACAGACAGAGATCAGAGCAGAGACAGGCAGACAGAGACCAGAGCAGAGACAGACAGAGATCAGAGCAGAGACAGACAGACAGAGATCAGAGCAGAGACAGACAGACAGAGATCAGAGCAGAGACAGACAGACAGAAACCAGAGCAGAGACAGACAGACAGAGATCAGAGTAGAGACAGACAGAGATCAGAGCAGAGACAGACAGATAGAGATCAGAGCAGAGACAGACAGAGATCAGAGCAGAGACAGACAGACAGAGATCAGAGCAGAGACAGACAGACAGAGATCAGAGCAGAGACAGACAGACAAATATCAGAGCAGAGACAGACAGACAGAGATCAGAGCAGAGACAGACAGACAGAGATCAGAGCAGAGACAGACAGAGATCAGAGCAGAGACAGCCACGATACTGAAGAAATCTAAATTACTTCACTCACGGACAAAATGTCACTTTAAATACATTTCCGGAAAAAAATGATCTCTGTTACGGCCAAAGTGACCCCCTCTCACCCCCTGTGCCCCCCGCCGCACCCCCCGTTACCTGGCAGGCCCCCCACGAGGGGGATCCTGCACTCTGAGTACACCTCGGGGTCCCGGCTCGAGGCCCAGGCCATCCCGGCCCACCCGGGGTCCGCGATGGGGGGGGGGCCGGAACCCCCGGGACGACGCGGGGGAGCGCGAGGGGGGGCGGCGGGGGGCGACCGCGGCTCAGGAAGGTCCCCTTGGCCGGGGTCCCCTTGGCCGGGGTCCCCTTCGCCGGGGCCCTGGAGCCCGGCCTCGCAGTCCGGGCCGCCCTGGTCCAGCACCAGTCGGGCGGCACCCCCGGGGGAGGCGCCGCCGCCGCTGCTGCTGCCGCGGTGCCAGCGCCGCCGCTCGTGGCTCAGCTCGCACCCCGCACCTCGCAGCGCGCTGGGGGGGGGGGGGGGGGGTGAGACAGGGGCAGGGGGAGAGACAGGGGCAGGGGGAGAGACAGGGGCAGGGTGAGAGACAGGGGCAGGATGAGAGACAGGGGCAGGGTGAGAGACAGGGGCAGGGTGAGAGACAGGGGCAGGGTGAGAGACAGGGGCAGGGGGAGAGACGGGGGCAGAGGGAGAGACAGGGGCAGGGTGAGAGACAGGGGCAGGGGGAGAGACAGGGGCAGGGGAAGGAGAGACAGGGGCAGGGGGAGAGACAGGGGCAGGGTGAGAGACAGGGGCAGGGGGAGAGACAGGGGCAGGGGAAGGAGAGACAGGGGCAGGGGGAGAGACAGGGGCAGGGGGAGAGACATGGGCAGGGGGAGAGACAGGGGCAGGGGGAGAGACAGGGGCAGGGGGAGAGACAGGGGCAGGGGAAGGAGAGACAGGGGCAGGAGGAGAGACAGGGGCAGGGGGAGAGACAGGGGCAGGGTGAGAGACAGTGGCAGGGTTAGAGACAGGGGCAGAGGGAGAGACAGGGGCAGGGGGGAGAGACAGGGGCAGGGGGAGAGACAGGGGCAGGGGGAGAGACAGTGGCAGGGTTAGAGACAGGGGCAGGGGGAGAGACAGGGGCAGGGTTAGAGACAGGGGCAGGGGGAGAGACAGGGGCAGGGTGAGAGACAGGGGCAGGGTTAGAGACAGGGGCAGGGGGAGAGACAGGGGCAGGGTTAGAGACAGGGGCAGGGGGAGAGACAGGGGCAGGGGGAGAGACAGTGGCAGGGGGAGAGACAGGGGCAGGGGGAGAGACAGGGGCAGGGGGAGAGACAGGGGCAGGGTGAGAGACAGGGGCAGTGTGAGAGACGGGGGCAGGGTTAGAGACAGGGGCAGGGGGAGAGACAGGGGCAGGGGGAGAGACAGTGGCAGGGGGAGAGACAGGGGCAGGGAGAGAGACAGGGGCAGGGGGAGAGACAGGGGCAGGTGGGAGAGACAGGGGCAGGGTGAGAGACAGGGGCAGGGTGAGAGACAGGGGCAGGGTGAGAGACAGGGGCAGGGGGAGAGACAGGGGCAGGGGGAGAGACAGGGGCAGGGTGAGAGACAGGGGCAGGGTGAGAGACAGGGGCAGGGTGAGAGACAGGGGCAGGGTGAGAGACAGGGGCAGGGGGAGAGACAGGGGCACGGTGAGAGACAGGGGCAGGGTGAGAGACGGGGGCAGGGGGAAAGACAGGGGCAGGGTGAGAGACAGGGGCAGGGTGAGAGACAGGGGCAGGATGAGAGACAGGGGCAGGGGGAAAGACAGGGGCAGGGGGAGAGACAGGAGCAGGGGGAGAGACAGGGGCAGGGTGAGAGTGGAGAGACGCGGCCAGGAATAGAGACGTCAGCCATTATTCGTGTCTAATGCCGTGCCGTTTTTCTTTGCTTGGCTTGTTTCTCAAAACAGTCACCAAGGTTTCATGTTTCCGCAGCAGCCGTCACTTTCACGTTTAACGACTGCGCGCGTGATCCTACAGTCTGTTAAGGATACTATTGCCTTTACACACGGAGCTGGCGCTATATTTTATTGGGTGGGTCTTCTTTTTCTTATAACCAGAACTGCAGCATTTTTTATTTTCCCAGGTAAGGCCTACTGAGCTATACAGCTCACATTCAGAAGCGACCTGGCCATCAAACGTTATAGCTCAACCAAAGTGGATTATCACCATCATAAGGGAATGTATTAGCAGTAGGCGAATAATCTCTAAACGCGTGAAGTTGATTCTAAACGTGGAGGGGAAAAAACGGAGGACTCGGAGAAAAATCCACGCGACCACGGGGAGAGAGACACTCAAACTCCAAATATACAGCAGCAGGCGTCAGGGTCGGGATCGAACCCACGACCTCCTGTAGACCACGCGAGGTAGTTAACATCTCCTAGCCACCGTGATGATGATGAGAGAGATACACGCAGACTCCAAATATACAGCAGCAGCAGGCGTCAGGGTCGGGATCGAACCCACGACCTGTATACCAGGCGAGGAAGTTAACATCTCCTAGCCACTGTGATGATGATGAAAGAGAGACACGCAAACTCCAAATATACAGCAGCAGGCGTCAGGGTTCGAACGGGGTCGAACTGGTACTCTAGGAGGGGAAACAGGAAGTCACGGGAGGTCACGGGGTCATCGGAAATCGTCAGTAATCTTGGGAACTCGTGAGGGGTCACGCGGGGTCACGGGGGGGGGGGGGGAGTCACCTCCTGTTGGTCATGTTGACCATGAGCGCCAGCGCGGTGAAGAGGAAGACGATGAACGCGGCCAGGCCGATCCAGAAGCCAATCACGATGGAGTCTTGGGCAGGGGGGGGGGGGGGGGCACGAGAGGTCATGGGGTCACACTCCCCCACCTGTGTACTCCATTTCAATCGCCTCTTACTCCCTTCTCATCCCTCTCAGACTTTTACGCCGCTCTCCACCCTCTCTCGACTCCCCCCTCTCTCCATCCTCTCTACACGCTCTAGTCTCTCCAAGCGCCCCCACTCTCCACCCTCCCCCCGCTCTACACTCTCCCCCCCTCTCTCTCTCCCCTCTTGTGCCGCCGATTCACACCTCCGCACTCACAGACATTTTAATTTACGGGGGGGGGGGGGGGTGTGTGGAAGGGGCGGGGGGTGACAGGTTGGGGGGGGGGCTGGGACCCTCTGGGGATCGTGCGAGGGTCGTGGGTCGAGCCCCCCCCTCCCCGCACACTGATTGGGGTCCCGTCCCCGTCTCTACTGTGCTAGTGACCTCCGACCCCGAGTTCTGAGCCGTCAATTCACTCGGGCGGTTGTCACTGTTAGTGTGACCGCCTCCTGACCCCGTACACTCACTTACGCCCGCTCGGGTCCCCTACACACAAGTCGCACCGCCGCAGTGGAGGAATGGCGGGCGCGTCACACAGACGATGGTCAGCGGGCAGATCAGCTCCGCCGTCGAGGACATGGGCCGGCATTCGGTGAATCGGTCACTCTGCCGATGTTCTCGCTTGGACCCGGCGTACTGGTCATCATGGGCGGCCGGCGGGTCACACAGAAGTCTGGCAGCCTGGGACCACTACTGTTGGGTTACAATGGGGCCGGCGCGCTCCAATCACTGCGGCTCTCTGTCTCTGTCTCTCTCTCTGTCTCTCTCTCTCTCTGTCTCTCTCTCTCTCTCTCTGTGTCTCTCGTTGGGTGCGGCCGCACACACCTGTTGCTCCCGCTCCAACGTGGGTGTGAATGGAGGCCTGGGCTCAGGTGAAAGCCTGAGCCCGGCCTAAAGAGAGTTTTCCTAGGGAGAAACGCTAGGTTATTTCTGCGTTTCTCCCTGTGAGTCAGCCTGCTGTAGTTAGTTTTTTATTACTACTGTCGTTTGTGGGTTTGTCTGTGTGTTTGTTTTGTTGGTTTGTCTGCTTGGTTGGTCGGTTCGTGTGTTTGCCTGGTGTTTTTTTACCTGGCCGACCATCGCGTGTGTTTGGCCTGGTTGTTCGTTTGGTGAGTGTCTGGTTGTGTGGTTGTGTGTTTGTGTGTCTGCTTGTGCGTGTGTTTGTTCGTTTGTCTGTCGTTTTGTTTGTGTGTTTGTTCTGTTTGTTCGTTTTTTTCGCTGTCTGCTTGTGGGTTTGGTGGTGCGTGTGTTTGTGTGGTGGTTTGTGCACGTGTGTGTGTGTGGGTCTGTCTGTCTGGCGGTTCGGGTTGGTTGTGTGTCGTGTGTTTGTGTGGTGTTTTATTACTTTGTTATTTTGTTATTTTTATTTTGTTATTTTATTTTTTTTGGCGAATATTTTTGTTGCTGCTGGTGCTGCCATGCGGGCGACGTGGTTCAGCCCAGCAGCATGGAGGCCCTCACCGACGATCACGGCTTCCGCTGTTGCCATCGCCGGGGACAACAGCTGAGGAAGTCGCCACAGCAGTGGCAATGCACACCGGGCTGCCTGCTGTCCGGGTGGTGCAGCGGGAAAATCGTGGCTATGTCGTGTACGTAGCCACGGTGGAGGCGGCGGCACGGGTGGTGGAGAAAGGACTCGCAGTCGGAGGTGAGGGGGGGCAGCTGGTGCAGTGCACCCCGCTCACAGCACCGACGGCGCGGATTACCATCACGGGCGCTCCACCATATATGACTGACGCAGAGCTGATCGGAGAGCTGCAACGCTTCGGCACGGTGGCCTCAAACATCAGCCTGCTGCCTATAAGGACGCGGAACCCTACCATGCGACACATTTTGTCCGGGCAACGGCAGGTGCTCCTCATCCTGAAAGGTGGACGCACCGTGTTGGACGTGGCCATCAAGCGCACCACTGGTGGCCGCGTCCACACGGTGTACCTGGCTACGACCGCACCGCGCTGCTACGGATGTGGCGGCGTGGGGCACGTGAGAAAGAACTGCTCCACCAAGGTGGGGTCGGGTGGAGCCATGACAGAGACGACGCCGACGCTGCAGCCGCAACGGCGGCAGCAGCGGGAGCGTCGTGAGCGGCAGCAGCAGCAGCAGCTGCAGAACCAGCAGCAGCAACAGCCGCAGCAGCAGCGGCAGCGGGTGAGGGAGCACCCCCCGCCACCGCCGCCGCCGCCGCAGGATGTGCAGCAGCAGCCGCCGCATCAACACCGGCAGCAGCAACAGCCGCGGCTGGATGGTGCCGTTTCCGTGCCGGAGCGCGGAGAGCCGGCACCGGAGGAGGAACCCGCTGCCGATGACAGTGGAGCGTCCACCGGCGTCGGAGGGGCGCGGAAGAGGAGGAAGATGGGCCGGCGCGGGAGCGCCCAGCCCATGGGAACAGCCAAACAGCTGGCGACGGTACCCAGCCAGCTGACCGCCCTGCGGAGGGGGGGGGGGGGGCGTGGGTGGCGCGCCCCTGGTGGAGACGACCGAGCCGGGGGCGCGACCTCCGGGCCCAACCTCACCCCCCTCCAATGCAGGGAGAGGAACGACTGACGACCGCCACCGGCGCCGTGGCTGCGCCGGGTGGCGTCGAAGCTCCGGGAAGCACCCCTTCGCCTGTCTCGGGGGAGGGGGAGGAGATGGGAATGGACCCGGGGGGGAGTGGGCTGCCTGCGAGCGGGACTGTGCCCAGCGCGGGCCCGGCCCCAGATGCGGCGGCGGGGATGGAAGAGGAGGCCTGCGCCGACGTGGGAGGTGGCGTTACCCTCACCGACATCGGGGGGTGGCCCGACACCGATGATAACGGCGTGCCGGGGGGTTTCGTGCCGGTGAAGGGCGACCCTCCGCCCACCCCAAGGTGGCACGACGAAGGAGCGAAAGAGGGAATGAGGAGGAAAAAAAGGCCAAAATTGGGCTCGAGCCTGGGGAGGCCCCCATCCCGGGAACGTCGGTGGGCACCGGAGGGTGGGCTCGTGCCGTCCGGAAAGCTGTAGCTGTAGCTAATAGTGATGACTCGGAAGACGATCTGGACAAGGAGGAGTACCCCCAGAAGCTTGGAGGTTGGAGGAATGAGGCTAGGCCGGGGGAGTGCACGCCCAGAGCCCTCCTCTTGTGGTTGAAGGAGATGGAAAGGAAGAAAAAGGGGAATGCGGTGAAGGAGCTGATGAAGGCTTTCCCCGATAAGCGCTCCCTTGCGGATGTGGTAATGGACGTGCACTGGGATCCACACATTTACGGTTTCAGTGCTTGGGAGGCCAACCGGGTGTTGGATTTATTGGCCGAAACGGGGCCGATCCTGCCGGAGGACGAGCAGCCAGACCCAGCCTCGCCCAGCCCGTCGTCGCAAGGGAGCAGGGTGGGCGGCGTCAGCGGCGGCACCCAAAGGGACAGGCGGAAAGGCCGATGAGCTGGCCTCCGATGGCCGAGATGGAATGCTCCCCCGAGTATCTCCTCGGCTTCCTAAAATGGTCGTATGGGAAACGAAACATCCGCGTGCAGGACAGTTTCCCCAACAGGAAGAACTTTATGAGCACAGCTCGGCGTGTGGTCCAGGACCCGAGCACGTTCGGATATAGTCGCCAGGAAATCTTCCGGGTAAAGGCCTTGATGAACAAGGTCCGAAAACAGCCGCCATCCCCCCCCATCACCCCCTTCCCCCCCGAGGCGTTGAAGAGGACACCACTACCGCCGCCGGCTGGGGAGGAGGGTGAGGAGGTGGGAGCGGAAGAGCTACTCTGCTAGGCAAAGGGGTGTGAGAGGCCCGGATGACGAGCACACCGGACACTGGCTGTGAGCGGTGGCGACGTGGTGTGTGATGACGATCAGTGTTTATTGCCAGTAAAGGCAGGTACACTGAATGCTTTGAAAAGCAAAAGCACACCAGACACTGGCTGTGGGGCGGTGGCGATGTGGTGCGGGATGATGTTGCAAAATTATTGTTGCCATAAAGGCAGGTATAACTGAATGAACCGGAATATTCCAGCGCAATTTGCGCTGGTGAAATAAAATTATAAAAAGTCAAAAGTCTCTCTCTCTGTCTCTCTCTCTGTCTCTCTCTCTGTCTCTCTCTCTGTCTCTCTCTGTCTCTCTCTCTCTCTGTCTCTCTCTCTCTCGGCCGCAGTGCTCTTGTCGTGGCCAGCAGCAGACCCCGACATCGGCGTCGAGCTCCTGGAACTCATGGCTGCTGCTGCTGCTGCTGCCGGCATCATCACGGCAGCAAGAGTAGAACAACTGTGGCCCAAGAGGTCGCGTCGAGACCAACGGTGAGCGTCGGGACCCCCCCCCCCCAGCTGAGCCACGTTAATTTGGGGGGGGGGGTGGGGGAGTACCACGTGCTCCTCTCCATGGAGGTGGAGGGGGTACTCACATTTGTTAGCGGAGAGTCCCTCGAAGGAGACATTGTACTCGTACTCGTACTCCTCGTACAGCTCGGCGTGGGGGGAGTTCGGGGACCCCTCCTGGGGCCCTGGGGTCTGCGGCCCCCCCACCGCACTGTCATTGCCGCGCCCCTCCGACATCCCTACCACCACCACAGCAACAACAACAACAGCAGCAACAACAGCTACAGCAGCAACAACATAAACATCAGCAGCAACAACGCAGCCTTGCCTGCCGGAGGAGCTCACTGATGGGACTGTGTCCAGATCTTTCAAGGATTTGTGAGGTCCTCACACTGCGATTCAGTCTGCAGGTTAAACCCAGGATGGATCGTAGGCAGGCCAGCATGAATGTTTTTAACCGGCGCAGAAGTTCCGTTAGTGGGGGGGTCAACATTTCGCATCCAAAGAGAATAAAGGGCATGACTGCAGCCAAGAAGACTGGACAATTCGTGTGGACAGACACACCAGGTAACTTCCACACAGCAGCGTTTTTCAGCCGATGAAAAAATGAAATTCTCACTTGCAACCTTCATCAGCTAGCTGAGACCAGGCCACTGTAGGTTTGGATGGGGTCCTAGATGGACACTCACCACAGGAGTGGAAGAATGGCAGGCGCATCTTACAGATGGCAAGCTGATGGTCAGTGGGCACATCAGCTCCACAGTAGGTGCTGGTGTCAAGGATATGGGCTGTTCCATCACTATATCATCCAGCAGATGTTTTTGCTTGTACCCGGCATGCATTCATGATGTTGTGTGGATGCACCGATGCCGGAACAGCGTATTGGTAATTTCAAGCCCATGGGATGCACAGAAGTCTAGCAGTCTCCTACCGTTGTTGTTGAGCTGATCTGGCCCATGCCTTCCAATCACTCCAGTCCCACTCGGGCATTCAAGTCACCCAAAAGGATGACTCTATCCTGAGGGGCCACTTTAGCTAGCACCTCTGACAGGAGGTCATAGGAGGCATCTGACTCATCGGCCTTGCCTCCATCCATCCACCGATGTTCATCTTCAGTAAACAACCACCACCAATTCTTGCCTCCCGTTGGTGGAGAGGTGAACCCACAGTAGCCTGGGGATAACAGCTTCCCACACCTCCCATGCCCCCTTTTGTCTCAGAGGAAGAGCCACTCTCTGCTGTGTGGAGGACTGTCTATCTCTCATGGTGACTGGACCAAGAGCCAGTCCACCGGACCTCCTGAATGCCAGAGATCCAGGCGGTTCTGGTCCAGCTTCCGACAGAGAAGTGACAGCCTCTCCTCGTCAGTGAGCATTTGAACATTTCACGTGGTCACTCGCAGTGGCTTTTTACCATTTCTGGAGGAACCCCGAGGGTGGCGGTTCAGCTTCGCGGATCCGCCAGATGGGGTTTGGCCAGGAGACCGTTGATAGACGCCTATTTAACATGCAGTTTTGTGATCATTTTAAATGAAAATAATGGGGCAATCAGCCCCTCACACTCGCCCAGAGCCCCAGTTAGCCGCAATGGGGGCTAAAATGCCATGAAGGGAAAGAGTCGATTGGGTTCAGCCATGACAACATTTCATAGAGGTGGGGGTTGTTTTTGGTGGACCACACAATGACAAAGATTCCGCGTATAGCCTTGAACAGACTGTTGGGGCAAGTTATGTTATCGAGCAAACACCTATGAAGGCTGGCACGGCACAGAAGGGGGTTTGTGGCGAACACGACGCCCGGCCACCTTTGTCTCCATAGTGGTGATGTTTGCACACCGCACCGGGTACCCATTAGAGGCTCAGTCGACCTAGAGGAGGCCCAGGACCGGGTCAGATAATCGTAACCGGTGTTGGCCACGAGCGGGAATGGAACTCGGGTCGCCGGGTTCGTAGCGCGGCGCGTTAAACGCTACACCCACACAGACAGACACACCAATATACGCACAAACACCCACCCAGACACACAAACACCCACCCAGACACACACCAACATACGCACAAACACCCACACATACAGACACACCAACATACGCACAAACACCCACACATACAGACACACCAACATATGCACAAACACCCACACATAGAGACACGCCAACATACGCACAAACACCCACCCAGACAGACACACCAACATACGCACAAACACCCACACATACAGACACACCAACATACGCACAAACACCCACACATACAGACACACCAACATACGCACAAACACCCACACATACAGACACACCAACATACGCACAAACACCCACACATACAGACACACCAACATACGCACAAACACCCACACAGACAGACACACCAACATACGCACAAACACCCACACAGACAGACACACCAACATATACAAAAACACCCACACATACAGACACACCAACATCCGCACAAACACTCACACATACAGACACACCAACATATGCACAAACACCCACACATACAGACACACCAACATACGCACAAACACCCACACAGACAGACACACCAACATACGCACAAACACCCACACAGACAGACACACCAACATACGCACAAACACCCACACATACAGACACGCCAACATACGCACAAACACTCACACACACAAGTGCACCCCTTAATAACCGCACCAACTCCCTACCCCCGCCTCGCTGCTCCCACGCAGCCCCCTCGCCCCCCTGCCAGACCCCTGCCCCGTGTCCCGCGACGTCCCGGCCTTCATCGGCGTTCACTAACAGCACTTACTCCCAACAGCCTGTACAGGGCTACACGCGGGGGGGGGGGGGCATTTGCCCGTATCATGCACACAAGAGGTTGTGGGGCGAGGGAGAGACGTGGGACAAGGATTGAGAGAGATGCAGGAGGGAGATCTGGCAGGGAGATACAGGAGGGAGCAGGAGGAGGGGGAGGAAGAGGAGGGGGAGTAGGAGTGGGGGAGGAGGCGATGTCTCCGTGGCTGGACGCGCGCGATACGAACCGTGAGCGATCACGGTGCCGGGCGCGTGCACAACAACAACAAGAATCATTTACATTTATTTGTGAAGCGCCTTCCACGAACGTCTCAAGGCGCCTCATACAAATAAGCAAATGCCAAGAGAGAAGCAAGAGCTACATAGACTAAACGGACTGAAGATGTGTTTTTTAAAGAAGATACTTAAATGTGTCCACATTATCGGATAAACGAATTTCCAACGGGAGGGAATTCCACAACCGAGGCGCAGACGCAGCGAGTGGTCGCTCACCCCCCGGGATTGAGAAACGCAGAGAAGGGCGGAGCCTGCAGATCTTCACGGCCTTGAGGGGATGAATGGATGAATTAACTCATATTGTGGTGGTGCCAGCCCATGCAAGGCTTTAAAAAACTAGTCGAAGGCTCTTAAACTCTACTCGTGTCAAGACCGGTAGCCAGTTTAATGAGAAAAGCAAAGAACAATTGCCACGTAATGGGGTTCGGGTTAGCACCCTAGCGGCCGCATTCTAAACAATTTGTCGTCTACCAAGGAGCTTGTTTGAAGCAGCAACCAGCGAGGCATTGCAGTCATCGATTAGCGAGGGAACGAGTGAATGGACCGGCCTCTCAGAATCAGCCAGCGTAATGGTGTTGTGCAGTCAAGCAATGTTTGGGAGGTGGAAAAAACGAGATTTTCACGACCTTATTAACTTGAGCTTCGAAGGAAAGGGAACGCATCAAATATCACCCCAAGATTAATAACCTCACGCTCCCAGTTTTTCCAACTGTTGGGGAGAGGCGACTGAGAGGACTTCGGTCCTATTTCCATTTAGCCGGAGAAAATTGTTCTGTATCCATGATTTTACAGCCGTTGAAGACGATGAAAGCAAAGACATTGCCGACGTAGCATCTGGTGCTAGCTGGAGGTGGATGTCCGTGTCGTCTGCAGTGGTAGCGCAGCCCGAGAAATTGCAGCAATCCTCCAAATTGGGCCATGTTAAATGCTAAACAGAATGGGACCAAGCACCGATACTTGAGGAACCCCAGACGACACAGAGCATGACCGAAGACTTAACGCCGCCCATACAGACACACTGCTTGCGGTTTTGCAGGTAAGACGGAACGACTCCAGAGCAAAACCTGTTACCAGCCCATAATATTTTCAAGTCGTTCAATTAAAATGTCACGGCCGATTGTATCGAAAGCTGCGGTCTAGAAGAACCAGAGCACTCGTCGTCCCGTGCTCTGCAGCGATTAACAGATCATTTACCATCCTGATCAGAGCCACCTCCGTGCCGTGTTGTGCTCTAAACCCCGATTGAAATCGGTCGAGCAATTCATTTAAAGACAGATGCTGCCAGAGACGATTTGCCACAGCACGCGCAAGGGCCTTGGAAATGAAAGGAAGATTGGAAATATGCCGGTAATTAATGAAGCACCGCGGATCTAGGCCAGGCGTAATAAGCAGATGAGTGACAGCGACCACCTTGACGGCGGAAGGAACAATCACCTCGTTAAGAGACCTATTGAATAGATCCCATGCAAATGGTTCCAATGGGGCAAAGCTTTCTTCCACGTACGAAAGGGGTCCAGTGGACAACGGCACGGAGGGGCGGGGGGGGGGGAATTCGCGATCAGGGCAGAAAGCTCAGTGGAAGGAATGACACGGAGCAGAGCGAGAGCTGTACCATGGAAACGAGGCTGGAAATGCGGAGCAAAAGTTAGCTGGAGATGAACGCATCTAGGAGCGAACGGCAGTTACTTTATCAGTGAAATGATTTGCCAAACATTGACACCCGTCAGTGTGTCTTGAGTAGTTAATTGGTGGTGGCATGAAGAGTCCCGGTTTTATTTTTATTTTGGCTGCAAAAAACCGCCAGCGAGACATTCTGATGTCTAAGGGCCCAAAAGCGCCGCGTGGCTGATATTACCGGGACATAAGAGGAGCCATGGCACCGAGAACATCAGAGAGTCGATTATGTTCACACAGCAGCACAGCCTCATCCACAGGGAGTAGACTGATACAACGGAGAGAGATAAAGGATCAGTAAGTGAATTGGGACGATGGGATTTCAAATTAAAAAAAAGGAGATCCGACTACACGAGCGAGCAGCGCGAAATAAGGACGTGTCGAAGACACTGTCCACGACAAGCGGACACTGTCCACGTCAAGCGGACACTGTCCACGTCAAGCGGACAGTGTCCACGTCAAGCGGACAGTGTCCACGTCAAGCGGACAGTGTCCA